TATGAAGGTACGTTCTGGCTTTGACAAGATTCCTCCTTATATAAATTCTTTTAGAAAGTTGTCTTAACCTTAAGTTTGTTTTTTCTAGGGGTTGATAAATGGTGAGGACTTCTCTACCTTGGCAGAGGATGTTCTAAAGAACACTTGTACAGAGCAAAGGGTAACTGCATCTTGGAGTCTGGATAACCTTGAAGCTTCTAGCTTGCAAGCAGACACGGTTACAAATACTCTACAGGATTCGGATGTGGTAAGCTGCATAGTGTTGGTGGAAGGGGGATGTATGTATATATATGCTAGTGTTTAAAATGGCTCATATAAAATGCCCTTTCAGTTTGACCTTGAAAGGATCCTGAGAACAGACAAGACCCAAACCATTTCTGGTGCCAAGACCTTCCCAGAAGTCCAGGTCACAGGTAAGTTGAGCCTTGATAACTTTCCTTTGTAAGGGAGGGGGTGTGGTGTGATGCCAAATTTTAACTTTATTCTCCTAACACTTAGGGTCTGTGGCTCTTGTTGGAACCCTCAATGGCTTGGATGTAGCAACCAATTTAGTGCAGTATGGTAAGAGTGCAGAAATAACTGCTGAAAAGACTTTCAATCAAAAGCTGACCATATGGGGAGACCTATCCATGAGCAGTGGTAGCACTGTGCAGGTATGATTTGTAGTACAAGTTGCACAAAGTCTTGTCAACTTACAAAGGCTTGCTTTGTCTAAAATGAATCTCAATTACAGGGTGTTGATGTATCTGCATTTGAAGAGTCTGCTGTGCTACATAACGCTAGTGGCACTACTAAGCCTATTAGTGGAATTACCACCTTCAAAGGCTTGACCTTGAAGACCCTAGAGTAAGTATACTAGCAAGGTGTGGCTGAAACCTAGTGTCAACTAGTCGGGTATTACAGAAAGAGTTAACAATGGAATCTTTCTGTCAGAGTTGGCGGCACTGTTGACGGTGTACAGGTAGATAGTAATACTATCCTACTGACCACTGGAGCACAAAGTGTAGCTGGCTTGGTCACGGTATCTGTACCTGGACAAGACAAGGTGGTATTTGTTGAACAGAACCTAGAGATCCAGGACAAGAAGTTCAACTCTATTAGTCTTGAAAAACTGTATGATGATACGGTTAGTATATTTACTCTTAAATGTTTTGGTATCTGATAATTAATGCTCTAATTTCCTTCATGCACAACTCCCCTCCTCCTGCAGGTTCGTGTTGATGGTAACAAGGATACTATTACAGCAGAAGTAACCTTCTCAGCCTCTCCAACCTTTTCAAGCTTAACTCTTGAAAATCACCTTGTAAATGGTTACAACTTGACAGATCTTATCTTGGTACTTAATGGTAAACACACCCTTAACAACATGGGAGATCTCCTAGAAGAAGCAATCACGGCTTCAGAGCACTCCAACATGGTTCTTGATGGTAGGTGTCCACAAACAATTTATTCTAGTATTTAGTCTTCATGGGTGTAGAATAGGCCCATTTTAATTGTACCACTATCCACAGAACGACCAACTGACCTATGGTATTTCTACGAAACCAAGTTCCAGGAAAAACTGTACAAGCTACAGCCAATTACGTAAGTAGGGCTTTAATACCTTTGTTAATTTCTTTTGGTTTTTGTTGCACAAGATTCTTAAAGGTTGCTACTTACCTTTCCATAGGCTGTCGAATCCCTTGGGACACCATTCCATTGATGCCTTTGTTGGCCTGAACTGGGATGATGCAAGTCTCCAGATTTATGGGCCAGAGATTGGTAGGAAGTCCTTGGCTGATGAACTAAAGGACCTCTGTGAGGAAAAGGAACACTTGGATATGATGACAGCTTTCCCACCAACAAGTGTGTAGTCTTCTATACTTTTAAACTGTATTACCTTCTAAAGTCTAGGTCAAGTGTAGACTGTGCCTCTACATTAAATGGCTTTGGTTTCAGGCACTGTTGCCGTTCCTAAAGCAACGGTAGCTGCAGGCTTGGGAAATAGCCACTTGGCTGTATGTGGCAACTCGCTTGTAACTTTCCCATATACAGCTGCACCAACCTATCAACAGGTATGGGATTACTGAAGCCCCCACTCTACCTTGAATAGTAACGGACTATACAAAAAAAAATCTAAAATCTTGTATAGATTTCAGATGAGCTGGGCCAGGGAACCTCGTATGGCCACATCTTCTTCCTAAGTAGTGCAGTCGAGACTGTGGTTTCCTTCAGTACCATATCCTGCAGAGACCTAGTGGTAGGCCCTGATTAAAATAGGTTGCTTTGATGATAAGTTTGCATACATTCAAGGAGAGGTTTTAACCGGCTCTTATCCCCTTCTCCCCTACAGCCATTCCACCTGAGTAATGGTAAGGATTGCTTGGCAGTGATTGATCATGAAACCTCCTCTGCAGTGATCTGTGGAACTCCACAGATGGGCTACCAGCTACTGAACTACCTGGGAACTAGTCGTGCAGTTGAGGTAAGGAATGGTAGCTTTGAATATGTAAGAGATGGAGGTCTCCCAGATGCAGAGGGTAATGACTCCTTAACATTTCAGGCAGCTGCATTTACCTTGGGGAAGACTTACCTAGTTGTGCTAGAGGATGACTCTTTCAGCTCTTCCTCAAATTTGAAGCTCTTCAAATATGATGTCAACACTATGGCTCTGGTAAGCTTAGTCTTGGCCATGGCCATTAGCCACTATGGCTTTGTCTGAATATTTCTTTCTTGTACTAGGTGAGGAAACTAATTTTCTGCCTACCCCTTAGGAGTTCAACCATGACCTACAAAAGGCTTCACACCTTGATGCCCTGGCTGGCAAGAATGAAGCTTATGTAGCAGTAACTCATCGTACCTCCCCTATTGCCGCCGGGAGTGTTGACATCTTCACCATCAATGATAAGTCTGGTTCTGTGGAGATGGAAAAAATGCAGGTAAGTAGTAAGCTTAACCAGTTTGTATGGTATAAATTGTGGTGTACTGGCAACTTAACATGCTCATCTCTTGCAGACCTTGAAGGTGCCTGGTGCTTTGGCAAGTAACTTGGGAGAAGTGTCCAAGTATGAAATGGGTCTCTTCGTCCAGACAGAGCATGGTGTTCATGTGTACGTCTTGAAGGGAATGCAGTTTATGCACGAAAGGATGGTAAGAAGGCTTGATTATTAACCCGTATTCTACAATTGGAATACTTGATCACAAACTGTTGCTAACTATTTAATGGAATCTTAAATACCCCACTTTCCTTTCTACCCAGGTGAAAACTGTACCTGCACGGAAACCCTTCTCATTCCCATTCTACCATACGGGCCAGAATACCACCTTCCTTCTGTACGCTGGCAGTGAGGTTGAAGGTGGACACCTAGAAGGGAGTGCAAGAGCATATGAAGCGGTCTACAGGCCTTAGTTTTAATCTTTTAAAATATATTTAATTAGAACTCCTCACTGGGTTTAATTACCAAAAAAAAAAAAAAAAAAATGCTACTTCACAGCCAATTGGTCTCTGGTTTGAGCTAGCTCAAATTGCAACCCAGGAAATGGACAAAGGATTAGTTAAAAATGAACTATATTTGCATAACATAACCACTCCTCAACCATCATAACTGGTTAGGGTACACTTAGTGCTTAAGTTAGCCTCTGTAGTCGGACATTAAACTGCAAGCAAGCCAAAGGGGGGGGGGGGGTAGGGGAAAGTGTATGTGATTAAGGCCCCTCTTACTCGAGGGGTACAATATTGCTGTAGAACGTCCCTCAAATTTAGGGCTGCAACTCCCATAAGGGTCTTGAGGGGGGGGGGGGGGCTTAATCTAAAACGATTCTTGCTAACTTCAGATCTAAATTAATGGTCTCTTTAACCCTATGCATGAATGATTGGACTTGTATTTCAACCCTAAATCTATGCACATGTTTTTTACACTACTTCCAGGCTGTCGTGCTCTAGGCCTAGACTATCATACTAAGACATGATCTCCATTGAAATTCCTCACTAAATTGTTACTGAAATTGCCTCCAAGCTTTAACCACTTCCACCAACTACCCACTAGCATGGATTAATTATACAGATAAAATCCTCAAAAGGTTTAAGTGCCCCTAGTTGCATGACCAAAACATCATGGTTGAGAGAGCAAACTCTTTGAAAGAGGGGGGGGGGGGATTGCCCCATGCTGGAGTGGCTCACCCTTGTCTTGGTCCTCTGGCTATGGGTATATTAATGGTCTGGTTCTTGCCCCCAAAAGTTCAATGACGGGTGCACCATACTCTGCACCTTTTGGCTCCTTTCACAATAACTGACCATGGATACCCCTTTTGAAATTTTTATACTAGATAAAACCTGTTTAATGAAACCCTTAATTAGAAAAAAAAAAAAATAGGCTAAGCACTAATGCATAGCTAGACTTCAGTTAGATGTCCTCTAATTACTGAATATGAAATTGCCTAGCATGCATTAACTATTAGTGTGGTTCGCAAGTCTTGCAGCAAGAAACAATTTGTAAACATTTAATCTGGTAGTCTTGGTTCCCTAAAAGGGATCTTTTCTCAGAAAAGACCCCCACCCCTATCGGTTCTTGTAAGCCATTGGCTTACTAAGCAAAGAATGACTTAGTGCTGGGAACTCCCCAGCCTTGTACTAGACTCCACTAACTTTGCATGGTATTTTCCCTCTTCAGCTTGTCCCTTCCCCCAACCCCTTTCTACCCACTTCCTAAGTTGCAAGAGCCATGCTTAAAAGCATGAAAGGTTGAATGTGCTAGTCCTGAATGGCCTGAGGGAGCCATGGGCACACTATCCCCTAGTTTTAGTTGTCTAGCTGATCCCTCAAGGGGACCCTGAGGGATGGAGAATTGCTCCATACATACTCCAGGCTTACCATGGCAAATAATGTTTGCCCCTTATTAGGGGCAATGAGGCTTGCCCTCCCTCATTAATTAGCCCCACAATTTCACTACATATTACCTGACCCCAGGATCTCCTGACCATGACTCATCATTGCAACAACTACCCCCCTCATCAATGCTGCCCTCAAATACCCCATCCCACCGTTGATACTATTTTACAGCCTTATTTGTCCACCTTCATAATGCCCTTCTCAACACTACTACCCCTTCTTCTTCCACACATAAAGCGCCCCCCCCCCCTCCTCCTCTTCCACACATAAAGCGCCCCCCTCTACAGATATTTTGTAATTTATTTAGCCCAGCCAAATAGGCCCAGTATTTCGTGATCCCACCCACAGCTCCCTACAGACAATTCTGCCTACCTGTTTTTGAAGGTATTGCTTTCAAAAGTCTTTCCATAGCCGACCCGACCTGAAAACCAAGCTATAGAATTATCAACTTGCTGATATCTAACACCATTTCTGCACAACTTCATCCAACCCTTAGTGCTTGCACCAGAATTCTCGACAGCAAACTACCCTATCTATAATAAAACTCGGTCAGATTGTGGAGAAGACTTGCGTGCCTGCCTCATGGATGGATGTGATATCAGGACAGTGCTACTCCATTTCTCCCAGAGGTCATCGTAAGAACCCCACTAACATTGCCAAAATTTTCTGCACACATGACCTTTCCTTTTAATGTTTACATTGCCAGAGAATTCTTCCATGGCCCCATAATGTATTCTATAGGAGCTGCCCCACCTACAAATTTAAGTCTGAGGTGGCAGCTCTCGGATTAAGACTTGGATTTTCTCTACGTGAAGCCAGACAGGAAGCACGTTGACTTTTTTTTCATACTCCTTACTCCAATAATATGTCTTGCTCTGCCCTCCACCTCCCTCCCAAGACGTTCCCCTATACCTATCTTGCTTCTCCACTTCTACTTATTGCTTTCCCCAGTACACTTTTTTTTACCCTTCTAAATCCAGGTACTCCAATCTCTACTGCTCCCTTCCCAGGATTTTCTCTTTTTAATCCCTACCTTACCCTTGTAGAATCTCGCATTCCTTATGACTACTTTATCCACTCTCTCTACCCTCCCCTTTCTTTTCTTCCTTCAGTTCAGGATAGTGGCACCGCTATACAACTTTTGACAGGTAGCATATTTAATCCACAAACTCGCTCTTACCCTTTTAACTACTTCACTTATCTATAGGGCTATATGACGGTTGATGTCTATCACATTTATTTTGCTCTGCATGCTGTTGCATCTGAATGTTTAATGGTTACAATCTGTCGGAAATCGCTGGGTAGTTTGTGAATGTACAGCAGTAGCGTTGGGGATTTGATGCACAGTTGTTGGACATACCAGATTTACGGGGTATGCCTATGTGGATATCCTGAATGAGAGGTTTCTACCATCGGTAAGGGCCGTGGTGTTCCCCGAGCCATTTTACCTCGTCCAGAATAACAGCCTCATCCACACTGTGTCGTGAAGGCGTGATGTCGGCAACATCCCAAGATTACACTGTGCCATATCCACCCAAATCCCCAGATCTCGGTCTCATTGAGAATGTTTGGACAGTGGTTTCATTATTTCACATTTAAAAAATTTAGTTTAGAAATCTAGGGTTTAGCTGAGCCAAGTGAACAAAAAAATAGAAAAAATAGTGATTCAGATCTATATACATGTAATTAGAAGAAGAAGAAGAAGAAAAAAAAAAACTGGCCCTTGGAGTTACGACCAGTGTAGCCCCCCCCCCCCCCCGTCCCCTCCCCTAAATGACACCGCTGTCAGGGATACCAAGATCAGGTCAACCTCTCAGAATTTATTCCAGTCGATTACATTGTCCTATAATTTGCCATCTAGGGGAACATTAAAATATCCGAGTGTATGATAACATATTACTGATTGTCATACTATATTTTCATTTTCCCCAATATTTCAGTATATGATGATATGATGGCACTACACAAAAGGAGGTTCCCTGATTCTAAGATCGTGGCACAGACGGTAGTTAAAAAAAAAAAAAAAAAAAAAAAGTGCCACACGCTACGGCAGTACGCCCCCATAAACTAGAAAAGTTATTAAAATGCAAATTTAGCATGATTAACGATGTGACGGCAGATTGCACCTCGGGGGAAACATGCACTGTAGTGGTGTGCTATGTTGAGGGTGATAACGTCATGGAGAAAGCACTGCTCGTTTTGAAATGCTACCCCAGTCTCCACATGTGTGCAAGTGAGGCATCAAAAACTAGCCGGTCATGAGAGGACCTCCTTTGAGATAAATAATTTATTTTAACTATGGGCAGAGTAAAAAAAAAAAAAAAGAATCTACGGTTGGCCGCTCAAATATTGTGGATGTCATGCCGCCTCACTTGTTAATCTGGAAATCTTTAATCCGTGTAATGACTGTTAGTCGGCTTAGTATAAGAACCAGGTTTTGATTTGGCGAGATCAAGGGTGTAATACGGTCTATGTTGAAACTATCTATGTAGACAAGTAAGTATTGAAATGACAAATGGCAGGATTTTCATATATCCTGAAGCTAACATTTGTGTGATTTGTCCATTCTATGTAGGGGATGACTTGGCTGTATACCGATAATTGGCAAGATCACATAAAGACGTTAGAGTGCGCGTTAACTACTTAAAGATACGGGGCTGACAGCGCGTCCATGGAAAACAGATTGGAAAGTCAGTGTTTGGGGCGTCGCACTAACGAGAAGATAAGCCGTGTCATCAACATTCGGTACTGCTTATGGAGAAGGAAGATGGATCTTTTAGCGGGTTGACAGGGTAATACGCCACGATTGCATCACCTCTTACTGATCTCACAAGGAAATCTATACTCAACTTATCGAAAGCATCTTGGTGACAAATTTCCCATGATATTTTATGAAATATTCTTGCTAATAAGATCATATTAAAGCTTCCTGACATGAACAGTGTATTCATAGTACAAACAGATACGGCAGACATCGGGCTGGGCGCAGTGTTACAGGCGTGGGAGGACGAGTGGTGGCTAGTCATATATGCCAATCTAAAGCTCAAGGCGGAGGAAAGGAATGTCTCGCGATCATTTGGGCTGCAATGAAAATGGGCAATATATTTGCAGCAATTTATAATTAGCGCGAGAAACATTAAAGGCGTTGACAATGTCGGTGCCGACTGTCTGAACAAATTAAGATAGATATTTTAAGAAATGTTAAATTCCTTAAAATCTAATAAATTTGAAATTTGTTATTCTTGCGGGTGAGGTAATTGCCATGCCATCTCACTTGCTAATCTGGAAATTGTTAAATAGTATAATGAGACTTCGTGGGCGTGGTGTAGCTGGATGGGTAGCAATTGTGATAGGGATACAGGTTAAAAAGGTAAATTTTTAGCAGAGGAGGCCGTGACGATAGAGTTGTGGGCCACTAGTGTCACGTCAACTGTTAACAATGTTATAATCAAAATATAAAAGGTATGTCTTATAAAATGTAATTTATAGCTTTATTGGTATATTGCATAACTCTGAATTAGGTTGGGAGAATAAAAAGTTTAATTGTGCCGCTGCT